TGAACCGAGAGCGCACGCCGCTCTCGGGTTTTCATCGATTTTTGTCACAAATGACCCGGTGACCTGTGACGTCACACAACCCCTTGGCTAACTACGAACTGGCTTATATCAGCTTGCTTGCTGGGTATAATCTAGATAACCCTGTGCCAGTAATGATGATCGGAAAATGTACCCTGTCCAGCGGCACGACCCCGGTACATTTAACAATGGGAGTGCCCCCACCTTACCCCTGGAACCCGTAGGACCAACGACCCGTATATACCAATGACCCGTAGGACTATAGAACGGTAATCGTTGATGGTGGGGAAACTACTCTTACACTTTCTACTTCTAATGGTGGTAATGTTGGTGCTAATAGTGGTGTCGGCGGTGTTGCCGGTGTTGGTATTTGCTGTTTGTTTTTTTGTTTTTGTTTGGCTTGCGCCGATTCTTCCCCATCGTACTTCAATAATCTATAATTATAATAATTTGAGTAGTGTCGTTCTGTTTGTTCCAGCATAACTTCATAATTCATAACTGCATAATATTCCTGAATAACATTTTTCGTGCTTTATTCCTACGCATCAGGTTCGATTCTAACACTTTGCTTTTTGTTATTTATTGGGTTAAATGTAAAAAAAAAAAACATATTTAGAAAATCGAATGGAAAATCTTTCTGGAAAAAACATGCACGATTCAGTTCACTTGGTGCACTAGGTGCGCTGGCTGTAGACTTACAAACACGCAACTACAGGCTAAGGGATACAGTAGTCTGCCACGTTACCTTACGTAACCTTGCAGTGGATTCGCCAGGGTACACGCGCTGGCTGTGGAATCAAGTCCTCCCCCACCTGCAGTCCCTGCACGCTCGCACTCAGCGCATATCTATCTATAAATCTATCTATTTTTCTATCTATCTATCTATATATCTATATATCTATCGATCTATCTATCTATCTATCTATCTATCTATCTATCTATCTATCTATCTATCTATCTATCTATCTATCTATCTATCTAT